TAAGCCCATGAAGATCACTAGTCCTGACATTTGAGCAGACCTTACATGTCCTGGTTGCCACTGTCTACCTGTTCACAGTTGTTCCTTCACATGTATAGACAGTTAATTCTGGCTAATTCCAGGACTCCTCCAGCACCAAGATCTAAAGATGCACAATCCCCTTGTATAAAATGTGTAAATTTCATAAAACTATGCAATGCAACTCTTTCATATGCATCAAATAGCTAACCTCTGTCTTTTTAATACCTGCTACAAGAGGAATGGTGTGTAAATGGTGACAAAGTTGTCTCTATTCAAACAGGTGACCCTATCATGGGCATAATTACATATCACATGATTAAGGCCTGTTAGACCCATCAGCCATCAGATAGAGTGGCCAACTGTATTTGTGTGAACTCAAACACCTTCCTGGTGAATTTGTCCACAACTCCTCAGGAAGGATCCATTTGTTTGTTCTACAAAATCCCTTTCTCTGGGGAGAGCCCTTGCAGATAGAGGCTCTGTTAAACTTTGTGTATCCGTGTCTTGGCCAGTGCTAAGAATAGAGTAGGTAGATGGTCGGGAAACGGTATTCAAATGATTGAGATTACTTCCAAAATACCAATATCTGACATCGGTAACATCCAATTAAAGGTGAATTATCAAAGTGTAAAATTCTTACTTGCGGTGTAAAGTATTTGAAAATTCATTTATTTGAAACGAATTTTAAATTGGCACCTCCAAATAAGAGCTATTGAGTGATACCTCATCATGAACCCGAGCCACTAATGTCATGACTGTGCCACAGTGATGGGCACCTGCTTATACGAGAGGTAGTATAGAAGCTTGACAGCAAAAGAGGATGTAGTAAAATGCGCTCTGAATTTAAGGATGCCTGAATTTCAGGTGGCCTGCCATTATTCTCTCAATATCATTGGGGAATGTTTGGATGGTCCGTTTTTATGAACGAGCATTGTCCTCAATAACAATCTTGGACAACCCTCCGCTCTGAAGCCTTGTAGGAGAAAGAAACAAATCTACAAAGCATCCACCAATTAATCTATATGGCTTGGTGATGTCTTTGTTTCTGCTTCTCTCTGCCTGTTTATTCCGTAATATTAATAAATGCAGCGTTTTAATGAGCTTTGACTGAATTATCTTCAGAGAGTTGGTATGGTAGGCTCCTTGGAGACACATAACTGAAGTTCTCGAGTTCTGGAGAGGAGCAAGCTCCTCATTAGCTAGGACAGCTAGGCACAAGCCTGCTCAGGAGAGCCGGGCACAGCTCGAGCCCACCTGTGCCTCTGCAGGACTGCGGCGTCTCTGCCCTGCTGTGTACCAACCCCGGGGCTTTCATTAAAAGTGTCAGGTGCTTTCCCTAGAGCCAGTGCTGATGGCATGTCATGCTGCTGTCCCCAGAGAAACAGTGCTGACACCTACTAATGGTCTGACAAACGGTTAAGTAGCTGTTCCAGTTCTGGTTGGGGAGGGGCTGTGTGACTGCACCTGAGCATTGCATCCAGGGCTGGTGTCTCCTTCACAGTCCATGCTGAGGACAGAGCCTGCTCCTCTGCTCCAGCAGGGTCCTCTTGCACTTCTTCTGTAGAAGATTTGGCCAGGGGCCTGAGCATGAGTCAGTAAAACTGGATATTGGTGTATTTCTGCAACAGTGGCATTTTGCCTGTCCCTTCTGCATTCCAGGTGCCGGTATCACATCCTAAGAGAACAGGTCAAAGCCACTTTTATGCACAGAATTCTAAAAGCCAGAATTGATAGCAGAAGCAGCCACAGTCAGGATTTAGGGTCAAGAATGACTTCTCGGGGCCACAATCCTGGAGAAGCAGAGGCAAATCCAGGCTTTTCTTAGGGAGAAAGTTGTCTGTTGCATGTATGCTCTTGGTTGATAGCATACATAATTTTTTTTTTTTTTTAGCCTGGTTTTCCATCTTTTTTCAGAAATTCAGAGGACTGATATTATTTTATTACATTCATGTGGATGGGAAGGCAGGTCCTTCCCATCGTTCATAACTGAGGCCCTGAAACTTCCATTTGTGCCCATGGCTACATCAGTCAAAGGGCAACTGAAATTATGGAATTGGCTTTAAAAGGCTTCTTTAGGCTTGTTAAGTGTCTAGGCCGTGAGTCAGTGTGACGAGGGTCTTTTGTTTAATACTATCCCTGACCCATGTTTGTACATTTTATCTTATTTTTAAATGTTTTAATCTTACCGGTGTGCAGGCTCTCAAGTTAAACTCAAGTTAAACTCTCAGCACTCCTGGTTATTCATTGAGAGAACTAGATATACGCTCAGCAACTTGAGTTGGCTAGGAGGTCAGAAGGCCTGAGCATGCTCTGTGGTAGGCCCGGGCTACCAGTTAAGGGACATCTGTTTTTAAGGACCCTGTCATGCATCCCCTGCTAATGTCATATGGACACCATGTAGCCATTCTTTCCTTCCCGGACAGATTAAATCCTAGACCTTTCTGCCTAGACCAGGGGAAAGCAATGGGTTTTGACTTGGAGGCTGACTAGCAGATTTTGGACTTGAGGTGTCCTTGCTGTATACTAGGGTGGGAAAAGGGAAGGTGAGTTGCGAGGGAGGAGTGAGGTAATTGTGTGTGTATATATGTGCACACATGCGTGCCTGTGCCTGTGCCTGTGCCTATGGATAAGTACAGACACCCACATGCCAGGGTGGTGTGTGATTGTCGTCTGACAATGTTGAGTGTCAGTCATCACCTTCCGCTTTGGTTTTTCTGTTGTTGTTTTGTTTGCTTGCTTTTGTCTTTGTTTTGTTTTAGTTTTGGTTTTTTGAAACAGGGTTTCTCTGTGTAATAGCTCTGGATGTCCTGGACTTGCTTTGTAGATCAGGCTGGCCTCAAATTCACGAAGATCCGCCTGCCTCTGTCTCCCAAGTGCTGGGATTAAAGGCGTGCACAACCAAGCCTGGCTTCTACTTTGTTTTAGATTCTGCGTCTCTCTCTCTCTCTCTCTTTGTGTGTGTGCCACTGTACATCAGGCCCAGAACCTTCCTGGAATTCTCTTGCCTTTGAATCCCATTTTGCCCACATTTCTGTGGGTTGTGATGAATAGAATTCAGGTATCCATGCCTTCTAGCCCTATGGGATGAAAAGTTTAAGCTAAAATATAAGCTTTAACATTACTTGCTAAGTATTACTTTGTATGCTTCATAGCATCACAAACTTTAGCACATGTAGTCTCATACTGAATATGCAGGCCAACCTATTGATCCACTTAGAGCAGAGAGTTAGTTCAGTAGCCTTTTTGTATGCCCTCTCACAGCCTCATGGAAGTCAGTATTTTTATTGGTTTCCAGTTATAGAAGAACAATTCTCTATATGGACCTAAAGCAAGTTTAGGGAGGTTGTAGTATTAAGCTTTAAATAAGCTTTTAACTGGCTTATGATTGCAGGATGAATGGAGTGTTTTGGTATGCTTGTTCAATAGTGTCATAAATAAATCAGCATATGGTCCATGCCTCTCACTTCATACATCAGCACTTTGTTGGATGAGAAGATCTAAAATCCTTTCCTCTAGCTCTTTTAAGAGATCCAATACAGTATTATTAGCTGTAGTTAACCATACTATACAAGAGAGCACCAACATCCATCCCTCCTAGCCAACCACAACCTTGTACTTCTGCACAAGTCTCTCTCAATCCACCCCTTCCCTTTCTGTCTCTAGCACCTCGTAAGCACTCTTCCACTACGCTGCTGCTTTCTGATTTTATGAGATTTATTTTTTTACATGTACAGGTGTTTGCCTGCAAGTGGGTCTTCGCACCATCTGCTTGACTGGTGCTTGTGTAGGCGAGAAGATGGTATCAGATATCCCAGACTGGAAATGGTTGGAAACTGCCATATGGGTGCTGGGAATTGAACCAGAGCCCTTTGCAAGAGTAGCCAGTGATCTTAACTGATGAGCCAGCTCTCCAGCCCCAAATCTACTTCCTGATTCTATCTATGCTGTTTATGAATGAGACCTTGCAGTATTTATCTTTTTGTGAATTAAATAACATATTTTTGCCCTACAGGCTCATCTGTGTTATTACAAATGACATGATTTAATCCTCTTCACAGTTCAGTCCCTTTTATGACTGGATATGATTGTATTGTCTATATGTACCCCGTTTGCTTCTTATGCTTGTTAGCTGATGGACACTTATGCTGTCTGCATCTTTGGCTATTGTGAGGAATGCTGGCAATGGGCACAACACTACAGAGGCTGAAACCATTTCCTACATGAATGTAGGATTGCTGTCAGATAATATATCTGTGTAGCTGGTAAAGAACCCTTCTTTTCCAGAACAGCTTTACTGACTGATCACCCCACTAACATTACATAAGACTTGTTTCCCTTCAGATCTTTCTCGTCTGGTGTTTGTTACCTTTGTCTTTGTTTCTTTTCCTTGAAATGGTGGTAATCAAACACAGGGCCTTGTATGTTCCAGATGTTTTCCCACTGAATACATCTCCAGCCCTATCGCCTGTTTGATAATAGGCATTCTGACTGGGGTAAGATGAAATATCACTGTGGTTTGATTAGCCTTTTCCTGAAGGTGAGTAATGTTGAGTATGTCTTCACACGTTTGGTGCTTCATCTACCTTTTAAGGTCTGTCACCTGTATTTGCTTGAGCTGTTTTATTTTATTTTGTTATTGTGTTCAGCTTAAAGACAAACAAGGAAGTGGGAACTCTTCTACATAAAGATCTGGTGCCTCCTCCTGCGAGAGTTGTGGCCATTGGCTTTCAGAGTGACAATTCAGGTTGCTCATCAGTGTGGATCCCTTGATAAATTAAAGACTGGACACCTCTGGGCTTTCCTAACTTCCTGAATTCTCAAATGTGGATCCATAAAGCCTGCTGGGAAAGCAGTCTTTCTTCATCAGCTTTCTCTCCCTTTTTACGGTTTCATTGTGAAAGCACCCAGCTTTTGCTCAATTTGCTGTGTCCCTTTTGAGATTCGTTTGTCTTTGATGGTCGTCTGTGTTCTCTTTCCAGGGAAGAGTGATCCTTTCTGCCTGTTGGAGCTGGGCAATGACCGACTTCAGACACACACCATTTACAAAAACCTCAATCCTGAGTGGAACAAAGTTTTTACATTGTAAGTGTGTCATGCCCTGGCATCCAAGGAGCAGCTTTAACTTAGAGAGCAATTATCTCTGATGTATATGGGGCAGGCTGGGGGCTCTGGAGGGGAACTTTCCACCCGGTTTTATGTGCAAAGAGTGAATTTTATTGTTTTTTTCTTCCAAAAACCTTTTATCCTTTCATTTTATAGTATGGCTTAATAATAGAAGAGAGCATTTGGAACTGTAAGGGACTGTTAGGAGACATTTATAAAGTAGATCTTTTAGTGACTAAATTAATCTGTGGATAGATGGAAGCTACTAGATGTCCAGACCAATCTATTTCTGGGTTAAGAAAAGTTACAAATGGAGTCCTATCTTAAATTCTAGGCACTTACACGTTATGATACTATCTTAAATGCATGGAGGTTTGTATTCTGTCAGTATCTTGGAAAATACAGATTATTTGCAAATCCTTAAAGACTCTCAAAGGCTCCTTATATTCCCTTCTATCAGAGTAGTTGGTTCCTTTGGACTGCCCTATGCGACACATCAAACTTGGGCATTTAGGAAGCTGGGTATATCGAGTTTCCTACTTTGCCTTAGATTTCAAGGTGTGTGACTGTTAAGAGGAGGCGTCTATCAGACTTTGATGAGTGGATGATGCCCCCTTCTTCCCAAACTGACCGATTGTACTCCTGAATGAAAAGAGTCAAAATTGCTTCTGGTGTAATTGATGTTAGACTTGCTATGGACTTCAACCATAGGACTTCTCTCAAAAGTCTCAGGGAAGAGGATCAGCTGGAGACATGTCAGCTTTTGACAATAGCCATGGCTCTATTTTTGTTGTTGTTCTTCGTGGCTAGCTTCTGTTCAATTTAAAGAAAATGTGTTTCTAAAATTGTGCATGAAGTTTTCCATATTTAATGTTTCATTAGGAGAGGCTTTCTGTGTACTTCAGCAAATAATGAATTTTACCACACTTTCTTATTAAAAATGTTTTTTTCTTCAATATTTACTTGCTGACTGTTCTTGTATATGTGTATGCCTGTATGGGCTTATGGGACCTACATGTGCATTCAGAAGGCCACAGAAAAGGCTACAAAAGCACTTGTGATCTCCTGGAATTGGAGTTACAAGCAACTGAGAGATAGCTTGTGGGTGCTGGGAACTGAACCTGGCTCTCTACAAGAGCAGTAAGGCTTTTAACCACTGAACCATCTCTCCAGCGTATCAATTTTTTTTTTCTTTCTTAATTTCAAAGGTGATTTTTTTTCTTTTTCCACTTTAGAGCAACTTTGCAACCCCTTTCCTTTCTCCTGATTTCTCTCTCTCTCTTTTCTTTTATCCTTCTTCTTAAACAGTATCACTCCTGAGTGCACACACATGTGGAAAATGACACAGTGAGAAAGTTGCCTTCTTTCATCATGTGCACGTCTGAACCCTCCATGATGGAAGGTTTGGGAATACAGTCAGTATGATTTAATTTTTGGAGTTTAATTAAATGGTAGTTTTATACTCTGAGGACACACAGACTTAATTAGTGCAAGTGTTTTCAGATCTTCATGGAGCGGACGTCACTCGCATGTTTTTTTGTGTATAATACCTGATATCGCCTCTTTCAGCCCTATTAAAGACATCCATGATGTTTTGGAAGTGACGGTGTTTGACGAGGATGGAGATAAGGCCCCAGACTTCCTTGGAAAAGTTGCCATCCCCCTGCTGTCTGTAAGTCTTCTTCATTAATCCACAAATGGTCAGTCAAGAGTTTCTATATTCTAGAGTCACTTTATCTTTGTCAGTCTTAGAGCTGCTATGGAAAGTACTATTTATTCTTTATATTTTAGATTTAAAGAGACATACACAGCCTTTTCTGTGTCAATCTAATATTTATTTAACCAACCAGACATTCTGTCAAATCTTTCAATTTATTCTCACATGTCATTTCATCTCAGGATGGCACTTTCTGTCTGATTTCAAGGTCAAATTTTGATTGTGGTCAAATTTTCCACAGAGGAAATGAGGAATATACATGGAGTTTTTTTTTTTTTTTCTAAACTTACTCCCTGCCCACATTGTTAAAGACTATTTGTTGTTTACTGTATATCTGTTCTCAGTTCTCCTAAAGACCATTTTCCCCAAAGTTCTGTCTGCTATGTTTGCTTTCAAACTTAAAATATTTTGTGGAAGAAAATAAAGATCTCCTTTGAAAAATCAGGAGTGTTTCAATAATCTAGTTACCATCAGCAAAGAAGAAAACCAAAAAAGAACAAAATACTTACAAAATACAGTAGGGAAAGCATGCCAGAATGCCTTTATGAGAGTGAAGGTGAAAAGGTGGCCAGTGCTTTTAGTTATTATATACTTTTCCCTTTTGAGTAGACATTAATATGTGTCAAATGAACTGGTTCCAGGCAAGCCTTACAGTTTTGCATGCAGCCATTCATATAACTGGTCATGCAGTCATTATGGCTTCACCAGAATAGGAGAGTTCATTTCTTCTTCACACTTATTTTTCCCCCAAAGCTATTTGTTCATTTTTGTGAGTTGTGCACTCTCTGACCTAACCGCAAGCTTCATCTTGCTCACACAATGTTTACAGGGAGGGGAACACTGTACCTCTTAATATCTTTTCGTCTGCTTTTGATCGGTTGGTTAATTTCTCCCCAAGTTCTCATATCCCTGATGCTCCTCCAAGAAAATGCATGCAGCAGCTGCTGGCTGCAGCAGCCAGCCCTTGCCAAATGCTCTGAGCCCTCCATGGCAGGCGGCAGTGCTCATGGAGAGGAGATGGCAATTTGGGAATTCCCTCCTTTTTATTACAACTTTGTCAGATATTCCTGGAAGAATACATGAAGCAGGAATATGGGGCATACTTTAAAGGAAGTCTAAAGAGAGGTGATACAAAGCCAAACAACCCTTTATAGTTCAGTGTGTATGTATGTGCACACACTCTTTCTCCTCTCTCTCCCCATCTCTTCTTCTCCCCCCTTATCCTTTTAATGGATAAATCTGCAATATATTTATATTATATATATATATATGTGTATATATTATATAATATACAATCTGCAATTTATTCCTTGATGTGTGAATACACTTGGACAGTTTGGAAAACTTTGATCTTTTTTTCTTTGTTTTCTTTCTTTCTTTTGTACATTTGTTTTGTTTTATTTTTTATTTTTTATAATGCCAGGCAGTGGCTTTGCCTATTTACTTCATTCTGTCAATCCCTCCATGTCTTTTGTCCATCCTTCCATTTCTCCTCAGCAGATCTAAGACAAGGCATCCAGCTATATCAGTTTGACCCAGTCCTATGGCTGTTGACATTTGGAGCAGGACACTTGTATATAAGATGGGGCTTTCCTGTGCATTTTGGGGTACCCAGAAAATTCCTGGCTTTTTTGGATGATAATAGCATTCTCTGATGTTTTGAAAAACTAAATATGTTCCTAAAGATTGACAAGTACACTGAATGGTGGTGGACTACTTCATGGAGACAAAAACTGAACTAAACTAATGACTCCATTTTCAAAATACTCCTCCCCAACTAGAAAATTAATGAAATACACTCGTTATTTAATTCTACTTTAAACACAAGCCAAATTCCACAGTGAAATTTTGCATGATGAGAACAAGCTTCTCCACTGTCTATTGCTCATTTATTTATTTGACAAAGGTTGATGATGTTTCACTGTGTGGCTGGGAATTTTAGCTAACAGTGTTCTAACGCTGACCCCAGGAAACTTCCTCTTCCCCTGTAGCTTATATCATGCTTTATATGAGACAAGGATAAAAAAACAAAACTAAAATAAAATTAATAACACAAATTTTACATCATAGAAACCCACCATTAGCACAGCAAGAATAAAGGGAATTGGAGCTCAGTTATCCAGGGATACATGGTGAGGGATGTGCAGGACACAGACCATTTAAGCAAGGACTGGAGGAGGTGACTGAGCAATCAATCTGAGCATTGGGGAACTCTCCAGGCAGGAATTAATTTGTGTTCAAAGGCCCAGAGGAAGGACTTGGCCCGTCAGCATCCCTTGCTGGCTGGGAGACCAGGGTAGAACAAACAGAGAGCACAGTGCTCTATAGGACAGGAATGGACTCAGGCACAGGATGGAACCAAGGCAAGCCTTGCAGGACCCTGAAAGGCAAGAGCCAAATGCCTGTGAAGGGTTTGAACTTTAACTCAGTAAGGAATGGGGAAACCACAGGATTGCATTGTGTATTAGTTAGGGTTTCTACTGCTTTGATAAAACACCATAACCAAAAGCAACTTGATGGGAGGTGATATTTCAGTTTAAGGTTTTGCATTTCAGTTGGCTGCTAAGGAAAATGGGAGCAGAAACTCAAGACAGGAACCTAAAGGCAAGAATTGGAGCAGAAGCCACTGAAAGAGTGCTGCTCTCTGGCTTGCTTCTCATGGCTCACTTAGCCTGTTCTCTTAGAGCTCCCATTACCACCAGCCCTGGGATGACATTGCCACAGTGAGCTGGCCCCTCCCACATCAGTCATCAATCAGGAATCTGGATGGGCATTTTGTCAATTGAGGTTCCTCTTCTCGAATGACTCAAGTTTGTATTTTATTGACATAAAACTTTCTGGACACAGTATTTGTTTTAAATACAAATAGCATGGGATCCAACCAGAAGAAAGCCCCAGTTGAGCAGGCTCTGCCTTGCATAGCAACCTGGCCAAGGCTGTAATCCTCTTAGTTGCCGTGGGGACCCTGGCGTGGCACTGAGTGACAGGCTCTGCTGCTGTTCTTCCATGCAACTGATTTAACTGAGATTACCTTCTAATTCCTTGACTGATAGATCGGGAAAATGACCAAATCCTAGAGTAGATCAGTGTCTCCATGACATCAGGTAGCCCACCTGCAAACAAATTGACATTTTCAATTTTATTTATTTTCTAATAGAATGTAGATTATAAATGTGATTTTTAAATGTCATTCCTCTCATTATAACTGAAAATTATAGTCCAATAATTATCTAATTTATTGTTCTATTATCAAATAATACTGAACTGTACTTGGGAGTGTTTGTTTAAAGATGTATTTAGATCTATGACGTTTTTCTTAGTTTATATCTTTTAAGGGTTGCATACCTGACAAATTCAGTATGGTTAATATACTAAGTCATTAATTCTTTAACAACTTAGTTATACAGATTTTTGGCAGTATAAATTAGGAAACAAAGGCTCAGAAATTACCCTGTACTGTAGCTGGTTAGCAAGCAAGCTTTTAGTGTAGACAGTCGTCTCATGTTGGGGTCTGATCTCCTCAGAGGTTTTTCTTTTTTTTTTTTTGACAGCCAAAGTGAGCATCCATCAAGCATCATGCCATAAGCAAGGGCTAGAGCTGCGTTTGTATGACCATGATATGTATAGTCAGGGATGACAAGAGAAACATGGGAAGAGAAGTCTAGGTATTCTTGGGAGATGTCTGTGAAGCAGGCACAGAAACCTAAAAATTCCAAACACCATTGGAAAGTAACAGGATGCTGTGAGAGATGGAATGAAGTTTGAGAAGACATTAGGAAGCAGGGCTTTGAGCTGGCTCCTGGAGGAGTAATGTGTTGATTGTGATTGATGGATGAACAGGAAAGATCCTCCAAAGCGGAGGACAAAGCAGAAACAGAGGTGCAGAAGAACAGTCATGTTGGGGAAACAAGGAGGGCCTGGGTGTGTTGATCTCAGGATGAGAGTGGGGAAGGTAGAGGGACCTTGAATCTGCCTATTAGCAGGTATCAAAGGTGGTTTTGGCTAGAAATAGTGACTCTAGAGCAGACCATTATGAACACAATGTGAGATTATCCCGAAATATTTGTTAAATCTCTAAGCATTAAGCATCAAAGAACATGCTCAAAATTTACATTTCATATTTCTTAGGAAAAGAGCTGATTCCTGATTTTATTTTTCAGTTATGTGAAAGAGTCACGAAAATAGAGCTAGTGGTACTAATTATTTACTTTATGCAAGAATAAAAACTTTGATCAGTGATCTGTTATTGTTGCTTGGTCTGGTAGCACAGGTCCATAATCCCAGAGACTTAGAAGGGTGAGGCAGGGGAATCACAAGTTCAAGGCCTACTTGGATAATATAGTAAGGTCCTGACTCAGCGTAAAGGGGGTGCTGGGGATAGAACACAGTGGTGGAATGCTCGCCTGGCATGGAGAAAGTCCTAGGTTCAATGTTCCACATGACAGAAATACTAAAATTTATTTTATATTTAAAACAACTTATAATGAACAACATACTCATAATTGAATGGGCATATTTTTTTGTGTGCAACTACCTTCTCTTTACCTAAATCATGAACTAAAAGTTCCTTTTACGCTTTGGTGGTGTTCTTTGGGATTTTAACTATGATAAAACATGGGCAAAAGTAACTTGGGGAGGAAAGGGTTTATTTTAGCTTATTGTTCTGTTTCATAGTTCATCACTGAGGAAAGTCAGGGACAGAACTCAAACAGGGCAGGAAGCTAGAGACAGGAACTAGGAAAAAAAGCCGTGGAAGAAGTACTTCTTATGACTTGCTCCTCATGGCTTGCTCAGCCTGATACCTTAGAGCACCCAGAACCAACAGTCCAAGGGTGGCACCACCCACAGTGAGATGCTGGGCCAACCCACATCAATTATTAATTAAGAAAATGTTTACTGCAGGCTTGCCAATGAGCCAGTCTGGTGGGAGCATTTTATCAACTAAGATTCCTTTT